ATATATATATATATTGTTCTATTTCACATATATACATTTTATGAATATGTGTACTGAGTAACAAAAATGTTTCTATCACAAAATATATTAGCAATTACAGTGACCGGTTGATGTAAGGTTCGACTTCTCGAATATCTTAGTTAGTTATTTAGAGAGGGTGGGTTTCCCCATGCACCGCGACCAGTTTGATCTATTGTGCTTCCCTCTATGATATTCTACCAGTCTCTATACCCTACCGATACTGGTGCTTACCATCAGTCCCGACCGAGCCAGCGAGTTCGGCCTCTACTGGCTTGGCGGGATCTATAATGCTTCCCCCATCTATCAGAGGCGTTAGAGACTACTGTTGGGCGGGAAATGTCCTTCAATTTGGCTCAGTGACCTCCTTAGGAAATATGAGGTTCTTTTACATGCCGTAAAGCTACCACACGGGACCCACGGCTTAAAGTCCCTCCCGGAGGACTTGTTCCCTGAATTTTTCCCCCCTTAAAAATTCCACGACCTCCGCCGGGTTTGAACCCGCGTACTACGAGTCATGAGGTGGGAACGTTACCTCTAGACTATGGAGGCCGCTTCTCGAACATCTTACTGGTGGGTCCGATTTATATTAGGATCGTAAATATATGCTAGCGTTTTTCATCAATTTTGTCGCCCTATATCTGCAGAAGACTAGCGATATGCCTATCCCTCAGTCAAGTATTCCTACCAAATGCACAGCGATTCATAAATTCCGAAGTTAGGACCTATGATGAAAAAAAAGAAGAAAATATAATCCTTAATGCGATCGCGTATGTAATAAACTCTATTTGACAAATGTATCGATGTTAACTTACGTGGCGTTACACTTATCATTATACCCCAAAGTAAATAATGCTTTATTTTATTCATACGCTGTAACTCTTAATGTAGTGTTTAAAGTGGACAGTGCTTCTCGGGCCAGAGGGTGAATTCGAGAATGCGAGATATCAATATATCTCCCTTTAAGTTGGTGTTGACTGCGCGGAAAGGAAACATTTGCTTTGAACTAATTAAGACAGAAGAGAAGCTACTGTTGATGGGCTGCTGTTTGCTGCCATCCGGAGCAGATCACACAAGTAGCTTGGGCCTGGGTTCAATTCCGAGGTAGATCATATGTAATTTATAGTGGACAGAGTGGCGCTGGGCAGGTATTTCCTGAATAATTTGTGTTTTATTCTACCAGTGTTTCGTGCTCGTCTATGCTCCGCACTGGTTCAATACGCCAATTTCCGTTCTCCGTAGAGACTGACTCGGTCTCACCCCACTCGTACAACTAAAAAGGAAATAATATATTTCAGTTAATTCCTTGTAAAATTCATAAAGAACATGTTATAGCCCCATCCTACCTATCTATCTATCTATGGTTCTACAGCCCTTGTGGTTCTTGGCTGCTTTTTCAGTTTCTTATTCTATACACAGACGGTAGGACTCCTTGGATGGGGATCAGTCCGTAATAAAGCCGCTACGTACACACAGAACAAAAGCATAGAATAAAGGCAGATTTCCATGCGTCAATAGGATTCGAACCCACGAGCCAAGTGTTCGAGCGGGGGAAGACAGTTCATGTATTAGACCGCGCTGCCACTGTGACCGGCTATTGTATCCCTGTATACGATTTTTTCAGATATAAAATATTTTCAGAACTACTTTTAGAGATACTGCATATAAATATATGCCGATAATCAATTGTCCTTGCATCTTGAAACAAAGAGATGCACAGATATATTAATAAAGGATATATCTATCTTCATTTGTGATACGGCATGCGTTCTGGTAGAAATTTACCGACGTTTCGGACGAAAATACTGCCTTCATCTTCCGGTTCGAATGGCTAGTCATACAAGCGGAATAAGGCTTACTTTGCTTTCTGCTTGCTCGCACGATTTACGGCTCAACTGTCAAGGTAGAACCAGTGAGTTCTTCCATAACGTCGGTGAACTTCCACCGGGGAAAGCGGCCTAACGTCCCAGAACATAGCAGTACATCGTAGTCTTCATAGTTACCACAGTGAGGACCTCAAGTCTCGCAACACAGCAACAGTATGCAACTTCAATATATCTCGAGAAATAATAATATTTTGGTGTTTAAAGTTAAGGATCCATGTCTTCCCCCACTGAAAGCATTAAGGTAATGTGTTCGAATCCCACTCTCGA